TGATAAATGCAGAGGTTTCAACACACCCTAGATTAGGACATCACCCCCAGATTTGGCGTGAATATGCACTGTGTCTACATTAATAACGCATATCGCAAGTAAAATCAGTGATAAAAGAAACTCGATTTTTTAAAGAAAATGAGTGGCGGTTGCCAAAGTGTTGCTATGCAGTTGCTTCAGTGTTTTGGGTGGTTTTTATAACGTTGCTATGCAGTCAAAAGAGGCCAACGCTCAATGACATCCCATTAAAAGTCTATGAGTCTATGGGATTATGGGATTTGCTCGTCCACCAAGCGAAAAGCTTAAAAAAGTAATAAAATGAATACATACATACATACATACATAAAAACAGCATGAGCTCTCATTCATGTTTGTAGCATAATGAAATGTTTTTGCTTGTTTTTTCATACACTATGCGAAAATCTTAAAAATCAATCAATCAATAAGCAAGGCATAATCTGAGGACTCATTCTGGTCTGTTGCACGATGTTTTGCATTGCATGTTTTATTAAATTAAAACTTAAATAAAAATATATATATATATATTAAATGAATTGCTCTCTCCTCACCAACACTGAACAAACAGTTAGTGCTGAGGTTTAATGCTTATGGTTATTAAAGATTTGAAGATGTTCTCATGAAGGCTCAATAACTTCTTTCCCACCAGCCAAAAAAAGCTTTCCAGATTTGAGAATTAGATCTAAGTTGGTGATTGCATGTGATGATAAGCTTTCGAGCGAACACCAGCTGAAATCCCTCACTTCCAATCACTTTGATATGCCGTGAGAATGACTTTTGACTTCTGCAATTTCCACTTGATTTTCAGCTTGTATTGCACCACACTAAGCTGATTCAGCTCCGAGCGTGCATTGATCTCATCAGGAGCGTTGGCATGGAGGAGCGGGAGTCACGGCTGGGGTCCGGCAGACCAGCGGTGGGCCGCAGATATCAGACCTCTCAGAGGAACAGGAAATCGCACATCTCGCTTTCTCTCTTTTCTCTTCATGGCTTCCAGGGCCCGATTAAAGCCTGTCCTGGGTCTCCAGTGAGCAGACTAAACAACACCTACCAGCCAGACATATGAGCTCCTATCACACCGCCAGGAGACCAGCAAAACACACGCAGAGAGAGAGACAGAATATAGCTATTAAAAATAGCAATGTATTATGAACTTTAAAACTTGACTGATAGCTATACAGACAGATGGATACGATTATAAAAGGACTGATAGATAGAACAGAACAATGGATGGATGGATGGATAGATAGATAGAACAATGGATGGATGGATGGATAGATAGATAGAACAATGGATGGATGGATGGATGGATGGATGGATGGATAGATAGAACGATGGATTGATGGATAGATAGAACGATGGATAGATGGATGGATAGATGGTTGATAGAACTATAGAATGATAGATGGATGGATAGAATGATATATTGATGGATGGATAGATGGATGATAGAACGATAGATAGATCGATAGAATGATAGATGATGGATAGATAGAACACTAGATAGAATGGTAGAATTATAAATGGATGGATAGAACAATAGATGGATGGATAGATAGAACAATAGATGGATGGATGGATAGAACAATAGATAGAATGATAGAATTATAGATGGATAGATATGTAGAATGATAGAACAATAGATAGAATGATAGATGGATGGATGGATAGATAGAACGATAGATAGAATGATAGAACAATAGATAGAATGATAGATGGATGGATGGATAGAACAATAGATGGATGGATGGATAGAACAATAGATAGAATGATAGAATTATAGATGGATAGATATGTAGAATGATAGAACAATAGATAGAATGATAGATGGATGGATGGATAGATAGAACGATAGATAGAATGATAGAACAATAGATAGAATGATAGATGGATGGATGGATAGAATATTAGATGGATGGATAGATAGAACGATAGATAGAATGATAGAACGATAGATAGAACGTTAGATGGATTGATGGATGGATAGACAGATGATAGAATGATAGATAGATCGATAGAATGATAGATGGATGGATAGATAGAATGTTTGAATTATAGAACGATATATGGATGGATGGATGGATGATAGAACGATAGAACGATAGAATTATTATAGATGGATGGACGGATGATAGAATGATAGATAGAACGATAGATAGAATGATAGAACAATAGATAGAATGATAGATGGATGGATGGATAGAATGTTAGATGGATGGATAGATAGAATGATAGATAGAATGATAGAACGATAGATAGAACGTTGGATGGATTGATGGATGGATAGAAAGATGATAGAACGATAGATAGATCGATAGAATGATAGATGGATGGATAGATAGAATGTTTGAATTATAAAACGATATATGGATGGATGGATGGATGGATGGATGGATGATAGAACGATAGAATTATTATAGATGGATGGATGGATAGATAGAACGACGATAGATAGAATGATAGATGGATGGATGGATAGAACGATAGATAGAATGATGGATGGATAGAACGATAGATAGAACGATAGAATGATGGATGGATGGATAGACAGAATGATAGAACTATAGATGGATGGATGGATAGAACGATATAGAATGATGGATGGATGGATGGATGGATGGATGGATGGATGGATGGATGGATAGAATGATAGAAGGATAGATGGATGGATGGATGGATAGATAGAATGATAGAACTATAGATGGATGGATAGATAGAACGATAGATAGAAGGATAGATGGATGGATGGATAGATAGAACGATAGATAGAATGATAGTTAGATGGATGGATAGATAGATGGATGGATGGATGGATAGAACAAGCCTAAAATGACATGCAATGAAATGCAGCTGTTTTATTTACCCGTCTTCACCTGCATTTTCTGATGAATTAAACAGTGAGCGCCAGTGAATCTGCTCCCGAGACTCAGGCTTTCGGGAGTCCACGTTTGCCTAAACATTCCTGACCAAAACAGAGCCTTTGTGCCGAGGAGGATGTTTGTTTAGATCAACCGTCTCATTGCAGCGACGGTCCCGTCAGAACACACAAATATTTAACCATTTTCCTTTCCATTCAAATGAACTCTGTGCAAACACCACACACAACATTAAAAAAGATTACAAAAGCACACGCAGAGACTAAAAATGAGGTCATATTACGCCGATTATCATCTGACATCCACAGACATTACGTGCTGTAAAACGATACGCGATTGTTTACAGATATTTAACGACAGCTAAAGGCCAGTATGTAAATATGCTGTGATGTTGACAATGAGCAGTTCACATGTGGCCAATTATCACATGACCTCCGCAGACAAACTCTGAAACTGATGGAAATGAGGACAACGAAAACAGGTGAAAGGGGAGGAGAGGAAGGAGAGAGGGAGCGAGAAGCTGCTGTGAAGAAAGAGAGAGCTGGAGGCACTGCTGGAATGTTTGTGGTGAGGAACAGCGGGAGTAATGGCTTCCATATGGACGCTCCTGGCGGGAGAGAGAAAGCCAGGAGAATTACAGAGGGAAACAAAAGAAAAGGATCCAAAATTAAGTTAACATTAAGGAAAAAGAGGCTTGATGGAGGGGAAAACTGGAAAAAGATGCAAATGGAAGACAGGAAGTGTACAGCAAAAAAAAAAAAAAAATTGTTTACGTTTTGCACTAAAAACACAAAAAAAGAGGGGTTTTTTACCTTAGACGCAAAACCGCATATTATATTATTTAAGAGGGGTAAACTGGAAAAAGATGCAAATGAAAGACAGGAAGTTTGCAGCAAAAAAAATTTATATATATATATATAACGTTTTTTTTTTCTTTTTGCACTAAAAACACCTAAACATCCTCAAAACTAAATAAATTTACCTCAGACCCAAAACCACATAAGATATTATTTCAAACTCATGTTCAGATAATAATGCAGTCACAAACAGGGTTATGATGGTTAACTAAAACTAAAACCATTAAAAAAAAGCAAAACAGAAAAAACTTATGCAACATTTAAAATTTTTGTTAATTTAAGTTGAAGTAGGCTACAAAAATAAGTAAACTTAAATTAAAACTTTTAAATTAATTCAAAATAATAACAAAGACTACAATAGCATATCAATTACAGTATCAAATCTTATTTTCCGTTTTGTGACGTACATCTGAGGGAAATTTATCAAAATTATCGGATAATCAAAAAAATTAAATAAAAAAATGTAGGGCAGGAACTTGGTTCTATTCACTGGCTGTTGAACAGACCTTTCACTGGAAGGATGAGTTTTGACATTTTGGTGAAAAAATTACGAGGTAAAAAAAGTTTGTTCGTATCACTGTGTATCAAGAGCTGAGGAAGATCCAGAATTGAAGATTCAGAAACGGTAATGAGCGTGTCGTTTCTGACACACGCTGTGAGCGGTGGACCAATCACAACAGACTGGACCATCTGAACAATCAGAGCAGAGTAAACCAATCACAACAGACTGGACCATCTGAACAATCAGAGCAGAGTAAACCAATCACAACAGACTGGACCATCTGAACAATCAGAGCAGAGTAGACCAATCACAACAGACTGGAGCATCTGAACAATCAGAGCAGAGTAAACCAATCACAACAGACTGGAGCATCTGAACAATCAGAGCAGAGTAAACCAATCACAACAGACTGGACCATCTGAACAATCAGAGCAGAGTAAACCAATCACAACAGACTGGACCATCTGAACAATCAGAGCAGAGTAAACCAATCACAACAGACTGGAGCATCTGAACAATCAGAGCAGAGTAAACCAATCACAACAGACTGGACCATCTGACCAATCAGAGCAGAGTAGATCAATCACAACAGACTGGACCATCTGACCAATCAGAGCAGAGTAAACCAATCACAACAGACTGGGCCACCTGGCCAATCAGAGCAGAGATAGACCAATCACAGCAGACTGGGTCATCTGACCAATCAGAGCAGAGTAAACCAATCACAACAGACTGGGTCATCTGACCAATCAGAGCAGAGTAAAGTAGACCAATCACAACAGACTGGGCCATCTGACCAATCAGAGCAGAGTAGACCAATCACAACAGACTGGGTCATCTGACCAATCAGAGCAGAGTAAAGTAGACCAATCACAACAGACTGGGCCATCTGACCAATCAGAGCAGAGTAGACCAATCACAACAGACTAAACCATCTGACCAATCAGAGCAGAGTAAACCAATCACAACAGACTGGGTCATCTGACCAATCAGAGCAGAGTAAACCAATCACAACAGACTGGGTCATCTGACCAATCAGAGCAGAGTAGACCAATCACAACAGCACAGACTAAACCATCTGACCAATCAGAGCAGAGTAGACCAATCACAACAGAGTAAACCAATCACAACAGACTGGACCATCTAACCAATCAGAGCAGAGTAGACCAATCACAACAGACTAAACCATCTGACCAATCAGAGCAGAGTAAACCAATCACAACAGACTGGGTCATCTGACCAATCAGAGCAGAGTAGACCAATCACAACAGACTGGACCATCTGACCAATCAGAGCAGAGTAGACCAATCACAACAGACTAAACCATCTGACCAATCAGAGCAGAGTAAACCAATCACAACAGACTGGGCCATCTGACCAATCAGATCAGAGTAGACCAATCACAACAGACTGAGCCATCTGACCAATCAGAGCAGAGTAGACCAATCACAACAGACTGGACCATCTGACCAATCAGAGCAGAGTAGACCAATCACAACAGACTGGGTCATCTGACCAATCAGAGCAGAGTAAAGTAGACCAATCACAACAGACTGGGCCATCTGACCAATCAGAGCAGAGTAGACCAATCACAACAGACTAAACCATCTGACCAATCAGAGCAGAGTAAACCAATCACAACAGACTGGGTCATCTGACCAATCAGAGCAGAGTAAACCAATCACAACAGACTGGGTCATCTGACCAATCAGAGCAGAGTAGACCAATCACAACAGCACAGACTAAACCATCTGACCAATCAGAGCAGAGTAGACCAATCACAACAGAGTAAACCAATCACAACAGACTGGACCATCTAACCAATCAGAGCAGAGTAGACCAATCACAACAGACTAAACCATCTGACCAATCAGAGCAGAGTAAACCAATCACAACAGACTGGGTCATCTGACCAATCAGAGCAGAGTAGACCAATCACAACAGACTGGACCATCTGACCAATCAGAGCAGAGTAGACCAATCACAACAGACTAAACCATCTGACCAATCAGAGCAGAGTAAACCAATCACAACAGACTGGGCCATCTGACCAATCAGATCAGAGTAGACCAATCACAACAGACTGAGCCATCTGACCAATCAGAGCAGAGTAGACCAATCACAACAGACTGGACCATCTGACCAATCAGAGCAGAGTAGACCAATCACAACAGACTAAACCATGTGACCAATCAGAGCAGAGTAGGCTGCAGAGAAAAAATATGACTATCTAAAGATGATTTACTGGATAGCAAGACCTGGTGTGTCTGTAAGCACAAAGCAGGTGAACAGAGAATGTGTGTGTGTGTGTGTGTGTGTGTGTGTGTGTGTGTGTGTGTGTGTGTGTGTGTGTGTGTGTGTGTGTGTGTGTGTGTGTGTGTGTGTGTGTGTGTGTGTGTGTGTGTGTGTGTGTGTGTGTGTGTGTGTGTGTGTGTGTGTGTGTGTGTGTGTGAAGGTAAGTCTGTCCTTGTCACCGTTACCGTCATGCCCTTTCCTGACAGGAGGCGGTTTACATCGCTCATATCCCTCCACGCTGTGCGCTTTCTCCCCAGACAGCAGAAGCTGGATTTCCTCGTCTTTCTTATTCAAACATCCCTTGTTTTCAACAGTGTGATCGTTTCCACACCCTCTGAAAGCAGTCTGGAAAGTTTAGCATTAATCACACGTGAAATAAATGCTAATGAACGGCCAAACCCCCTTCCTTCAGGACGAAAAAAAAAACGAAATCAAAATCCATCAAGACTGACAGAGAGAGAGAGAGAAAAGAGAGAACATATGCTTTCCTTCTCTCGCTGTCTGTATTTCATATCCTCAGATCAGGCCTGTATATTTATGCAGCCGTATGTTCTCAAAGCCCCCCGTTCAGAGAGATTAACATATGTGTGAGTCTGTATGTGCACATGAATATGATTCACAGCATAATGAATCATAATGCCGTTTAAAGAGGTGAGCGTTCATGCCGGATCAGAGGAACACACACACACACACACACACACACACACACACATAGGTGTGGATAAGTGAAGGTAAAATGAGTCTTTCAGTCCAGCTGGTGTGTGACCACAGGTCTCTGTGTGAAATTAGTGTGTGTTACTCTTAAATGTGTGCATATGAATGAAGTCTGTGTGTGTGTGTGTGTATTAGTGTGTGGACTCCTTCCTCGAGGGAGACGGCTCCAGGTTAAACTCACTCTCTCAAACGTAACGGTCTGATTAGAGCGAGTCAGCAGGGGTCAGGGGTAGACCGAGGGGCCACATACTGAGGGGCCCGTGGGGTCCTGGGTCATACGCCACTGCCCCACTGTCCACCTCACAGAGTCCAGAGCATCCACGAGGCCTATAAACACCCCAACATGGGGCTCAGATGTCTTCGGGGCCCCAGGAAACTGTTACTCAAAGGTTCACCTGACTCTGTGTGTGTGTGTGTGTGTGTGTGTGTGTGCGGAGATTAAGAGCTTCTGCATACAATCCCTGACAGGAAGAAACCGGACCGATACAAGAAACAGATCTGGAGTCCTAAAAGACAAGGAACACATAAAACAATATGCTATTGGCTTTCAACTTCTTAATTATTGCTTAAGCAATTTGTTTAGTTTATACTATTTCAGTTAATAGAGAAAAAATATGACCATCTAAAGAGATTTACTGGAAAGCAAATACCTGATGTGTCTGTAAGCACAAAGCAGGTGAACAGAGAATGTGTGTGTGTGTGTGTGTGTGTGTGTGTGTGTCCTTGTCACTGTTACCGTCATGCCCTTTCCTGACAGGAGGCGGGAAAGTCTCTAAGTATGAACTACATCCAAATGGATATGAAAAATCATGTGGAAAGAAAATCAATTTGTAAATGCTTTGGAGATATTTAAATTTTTGTATTTAAAAGCACCGAATTCAATCATATTCTTTAGGAGTATTTTGACAGATTTGAGAGAAAATATTTACATGGATGCTGCATTCGATGGTAAGACTTGCTCAATACACGCAGATATTTTCACTTGTTTAAAGTATAAGCTAATTAAAACACTAGTGGGAAAAAAAACGACAAGAAAACAATTGTTTCTTGATGTGTTATGCTGAGCTGCTTAAGTTAATTAATCCTGTTTTAAGGATTTTTAGATTTTTTTTTTTTTCCAGGAAAATAGACAATGGCTAATTAAAAAGTAAGTCCATTTTTACACACGATTTAGATAAACATTTTTAAATGTGATTTATTTATCAATTTATCAAATTAAATAACAAAATAAATATTACATTTATTTATTTATTTAAATTAATACATTGAGAATTGATTATTTTTTCACTTATTTGAAAGTGGCACTCCTAGTCCTCCATTGTTTTATGTTGACTTTAATTTACACAAAAAACATATGAACCCAATATGCTGATCTGAAAAACATATACAATATAATAATAATAATTCATTCGTACAGCTATAGCTTAAGAAGCAAAAATTACTACAATGCTATACCAAAAAAGAATAAATGTTCTTTATTGGCATTGATGGTTCCATTAAGAACCTTTAACATCCATGGAACCTTTCCATTCCATAAAAGGTTCTAGATAAGAACAAAACGGTTATTTTAAGAACTGTGGACTGAAAGGTTCTCTGGGTAATCCAAAATGGTTCTTTAAAGCCTCTAAAAAGTTGTGAGCTGTACAAATCTACCCGAAAGAGAACTAATGCAAATTCGAACACCTAATTCTGTTATTTTCCACGTCTATTTGTGCTTGAGGCGAAATTGTCAAAATGCCCATCTTGGAGAGTATCCTCGTAAACACATTCGCTTATGACTCACATGAATGTAAAGAATTGAGAAAGAAAATGGATTCGTATCATTATGTTGGATCCGTGCATTCGGTCTTAAAGTGACAGCAGCCTAATATTCCTGATGCTGTCTGTGTCATTAATTGAATTAAACAACAAAATACAAAGAGAAAATCACCTTTGTAGCTTTAACAAATATTATTTTTTATTTCATTTATACAGCGAAGACTATGCAGTGTAATTTTACATTTAATTGTAGAATTGATGTACCTGAATACTGTTAGACTTACCGGAAAAACATAAAGCATTATCTTTATATCTATTTATTTTTTAATCATTTACCTATGATTGTAATATTTTTTGTTATTTTCTTTGAAGATTCTACAAAATCACCCCAATCATTCCAGAATGAATAATTATTTCTAAATATAGCTATTCAAATCATCTGGTGAAACTGTTTCATATCGCAATATCGCAGAAAAACAAAATATCGCAATGTCAGTTTTTTCCCCCAATATCGCGCAGTCTCTGAATTGTGTCCTGACAGGGCCGTGTGGTGAGCGGGGCGAGACAGGGCCAGTGTGGAGTGACGACAGCCTGCTATTCCACGCCCTGAGGCCCAACACCCAAAACAACCAGACGCCTTCACAAATCAACCGTCCCGGCATCTGAAAGTCATTCCACTCTCTCACTCACTCTTCCTACTACACACTTCCATTTAGCAGTTTTTACCTCTGACTGCCTCTCTTTATCTCTTCCATGTATAACTCTCTCTGGTGGGTCTAGTGCGGTCAGGCCGGGGTCCCAGAAGGACCCAAAGTTGAGGAGCCCTGTGGTAAAAAATCAACAGCTAGAGACCTGAGAGAAACACGGCGGGCGAGAGAGAGAGAGAGAGAGAGAGAGAGAGAGAGAGAGAGAGAGAGAGAGAGAGAGAGAGAGAGAGAGAGAGAGAGAGAGAGAGAGAGAGAGAGAGAGAGAGAGAGAGAGAGAGAGAGAGAGAGAGAGAGAGAGAGAGAGAGAGAGAGAGAGAGAGAGGTGTCAGCAGACAGATGAGACTGACTACTGCTTCAATCCTGTCAAGATGTGCGTCATGCCAGTTTCTGCTGCAAGTGTGTGTGTGTGCTGAACCATACGAATCTCATCTCCTCCACAGTGCCGAAGGGCATCTTTTTAGCACACAAAAACTTTCATCTCAAACTCATCGAGGGTCACGGGGTCTTTATGACATTCTTCTCTCCCCCCAGCCAATTAGAAACAGCCTCTCAAACGGTGTTCTCAAGAGCACTTCCTGTCGGGGGGGAGATTGACAGCTGAGGCTATGATTGACAGGCCTCTGGTGAGAGAGGGTTTGGAGCTGCGCTGTGGTCCACGGGAACGTTTTCTGCTGGCAACCCTTTCATTTGCATGAAGGAGGGATGCTGGATAAATAAAGAGAGCGAATGAATTTTGGAAGTGAAGTACGAGCGTCCCAGCGGGGTAGAGGCACGTTTTCGAGAGCGCGGCGACGTGTAGAGTCCCGTGAGAGGAATACCATGACAAACGCTCTATTCACACACACACAGGCACACACTCGCATAGAAGGAAAACAACAACTCAAATCCACAACAACTACACTGTTACAAACAGGATGCGATCCATATTCACACTCATTCTGAAAAGATGCAGCAAATCCCTGATGATTGTGATAATTAAATATGAAAGGGTTTAAAAATAGCACGATTTCCTCCTTAGTATCGGGGAATTCTGAAGAGACCATTCACAAATACAGCGAACATGAAAACGCTGGGGGAAAAAAAGGAAAACAGAAACTCCCTATTCACTCTTTCCTGACTCTCTTTCTCTCCCTCAACCGTTCCTGCCCCTCCGTCTCTCGGGAGAAAGAGAGAGGGAGGAAAAAATGGCTGATCATTATTCCTATCAAACTCTCGGAGAAAGAAAGTTCACACCAACTTGCTGACTAGGTTAACAGGCTGAGTGACAGAGAGAGTTAAAGAGATGGGGGGAGAAAGAGTGTGACGAACAAGAAAATGTGTTAGATGTTAAAATTCACTTGTCGGAAAAAATCCTTTACAGGATTACTGTCATAATGTAGATCCAATCCTAAAAAATCCTAATGGGATCAAATTAGAATCCCTTCTGGATCAAATACTAACTTCTTGGATGAACTGACATTTTGGGGAAAAAAGTTTTTTTTTTTAATGTGTTTGAGAAAAAGTCTCTTATGTTCACCAAGGCTGCATACGATACATTAAAAACAGTGATAGCCTACAGCAAAAATATTTCTACAATTTAAAGCTACTTACTATTTTAATATATTTTATTTAAAATGTAATTTATTCCTGTGATGTCAAACTGCTGATTTGGTGTTAAAAAAAAACTTTTCTTAAAGTGCCACTAT